AAGAAATTTGCTGCAACCCCCCCTCCCCCCCTCTCCTTCTCTCTTTTTATTTCTTTAGTTCATTTCTCATGAGTGATGTCCCAAATGGAGTACAAATTTGGGCCATAAACATGTTTTGAAAAATCTATCAACACTAGATGGATCAGATGTAAGAAAAAATTCCATCTTTACAGATTTGAGATATCAAAGACTCCAACCTAGGTTTTGCCCCATTTTGAAAAGTAATTTGTTCCCCATGATTATTTTTTGGTTTTTCATCCATTAGTAGGCTCAGATTTCTGAGATTTTCCATTTTGGATTTACTATTCTAAAATTTTTGATAGTTAAATCAACAAGATTGAAATCAAAAACGAAATCTGGTTTGGGGTTGGGGTTACTAAGAAAGCATTAGCAAGGTTTAGAGGCACGATACCAAGCTCATAGGAGGAGCGGCCTCAAAAATTCTGGTAAGTTCAGTTTTTAAAATTAAATTCATTAGAATGCACTCCATCTTTAGCCAGCCGATCTGCCAGGGTGTTGGAATCCCTCCAAGTATGCCTCCAAGAGACGGCTATATCCCTACAAATGTGAGTAATCTCGTAACGAGGTACCAAGGGCAAGGTGATGAGCCAGAGGCCCAAGTAATGATGTTTTGAGCATCTCCTTCGATGATTTGGGGTTTGACCCTAAGAGGGGTCGAAGAGCCTAAGTTCGGGGAGGAGTGTCGAAGATTTAGCTGGATGTGAGTCTACGTGGCCAATGTTTCTGGAGAACGAAGTGAGAATGTTCCTGAGGAGGTCTCGGAAGACTCCACCCACACCTGTCGGACCTGGGTTTCCAAGCGAGCACCCATCAAAGTTTAATTTGGTCTGGCCCTCAGGAGGACGGGTCCAAACACTGGGCCGAGAGCGGAGAGGGAATCGGTTGTCAATAAGGTTTCTCCATTAGTGTAGGAAAGTCGTGGATGAGGTTCCTTTGAAATGCTTGTGTTTTGTGGCCCAGAAAATGACAGCTGCAGTTAACTTATGTAAAATGGTCGAAACCTTGCTTTTGACTCCACGGAAAATTTTGAAGTTTCTCTCGGTCCAGATGACCCAGATCGTGGCTACTATGGATGCCTTCCACAAGGTCCTGCCAGTTTTGCGCCACGGGATGTCGAGGGAAAGATTGTACAGGGTCGTGATGAAGGGTGGGGTAACCCAGTACAGGCCGAAGAGTTCAAGCGTAAACCCCACAAGTTGTGAGCTAGTTGGCAGGGGATAAAAAGGCGGGAGTTGGTCCCTTCATCCATGAGGCACATCGCACAACAATTGGGGATAGGAACCCCCTACGCCGAAGATGGTCTATGGTGAGGGCTTTTTGAGAAATAACAATTCAGGTCAAGGCTTGAACTTTAGGGGGGGGGGGATGGAGGATGAAGCATAGGCTACGATGAATGTTGGGGATAGGGGGAAGGTGGGTAGCATCAGCAGTTCTTGTAAAAGGAGGCGACAGAAAACCGCCCGAAGGTGAAGGGGTTCAAATGACTTGGTCAGGGTCAGAGGAAGCCAAGAAAGTGGAGTGTAACATAGACAAGGTAAGAAATTCCGAGGTTTTGGGGTCAAAGAGGGGCCGCCTAAAAGAAGGGTTCCAAACTCTGAGTGAACCCAAGAGCAGCATCTCATCCGCAACAAAGGAAAGCTTGTTAATGGCCAAGGAAAAGAGAGCTGGGAAAGGTCCCTAAGGGGGGTGTGGCCCAACAAAAGGTCAGACCAAAAGTGAACACGATTACCTTCCCTAAAGTGGAAGCAGATGTCTTTCTAGAAAAGGGCTAAGGAGAACAAGGAAGACTTTCAAGCTCTGGAGGGTCTACTTTGCGATCTTGCAGCAGGTAGCCATGCGTTGGCCGGAATGCAGTATTTGCACTGGATGACTTGTGTCCAGAGGAGGTTGTTTTGAGTTGCTAGATGCCACCACCACTTACCGAGCAAGGCCATATTGTGTTTCCTTAGGAGGCGGATGCCTAGACCATCGAGGTGTTTGGGCTAGCAGACTTTCTCCTATGCAATGAGATGGTATTTTTTTGTACCGTCTCCTGCCCACAAAAAGTTTCTCATAAGTTGTTCAAGGCAATTGGCCACCGCAGCTGGCATATGGAAATGGGGCATGAGGTAAACAGGAGTGTTGGCTAAGGTCGCCTTGATGAGGGTGGTTCTTCCTGCAAAGGATAGAATACATCCTTACCAGCCTGCTAGACGGCAGTCGACTTTGTCAATAATGTGGGACCATTGCCTCTTTTTGGGCTTACCAAGGCCTAGTGGCATTCTAAGGTAGCAAGTGGGAAGGTCGTCCACTTTAGACTCCCATCCAGTAACAAGGGATCAAGTTTCGGAAGAGGTGAGAGCAACCCCAATCATTGTGGATTTGGCCAAATGTGCTTTAAAGCCCGTGGAAAATTGGAAACACTTAAGGAAGAGGCAGAGGGTTTCAGTTGCATGGGGTACCGCATCAATGAAAACAAGAGTGTCGTCAACGTACTACATATGAGATATGACTAGACCCCTAGGGCTACTCTTGAAGCCAGTGAGACGACCCATCTAGTACATGAAAGAGATTGATTGACTACAGACCTCTGCTGAAATCACAAAGAGGAAAGGGGAAAGAGTTGACAAAGACCCCTAGAAGCTAGGAAGAAGCCCCTGGGGGTGCCGTTGATGAGAACGGAGAAGAAAGGGCTGGAAAAACAGCCTTTCATCCAGGTTCTCCACAGCGACCCAAACCCCATAGGATCCATGGTCGCGTCCAAGATTACCCAATTGATGTGGTCATAGGCTTCTTCCAGCCGATCTTGAATATTAGTCCTAGATGTTTGGCAAGGTGCCTGGAATGGACACATTCGTGCGCAACCCGAATCCCATCGAGGATTTGTCTATCTTTGATGAAGGCACATTGGGAGAGTGAAATGATGTTGGGTAGGACCTCTTTAAGCAGCGAGGCAAACACTTTGGAGAGGATCTTGTAAGTGGAGTTGATAAGGCTTATCGGGCGGAAGTCCTTAAGCTCTTCAGCCCCTTCGACCTTGGTGACGAGGGTAATGAAGGTCGCTTTCAAAGCTTTGTGGATAATCCCCTGGTGAAAAAACTCTTCAAAGAAGTTGAGGAAGTCGTTTTTGAAGGAGTTCCAGAACACCTTGAATGGGGCTATGGGGAACCCGTCCAGTCCTGGGGCTTTGTCTTGTCCTAAGTCTGACAGGGCCGTCAGGATTTCTGTTTCCGAAAAGGGCGTTCCAGCCAGGCTGCTTGGTGCTCAGGAACGGTTTGGGTCCCGAAGGACCCGTATAGAGAGATTTGAATTAAGAAACGATGGCCTCTTCGACCTCAGGGGGGTGATCTAAGATCCTGTTTCCAACCTTAATACTAGAATTGGAATTATCTCTGCAACGGCAATTGGCTATTCTTTAGAAGAATCCAGTGTTGAGATCTCCAGATTGTAGCCACTTCACTCTAGAGCGCTGAACCCAAAAGATCTCTTCTTTAATAAGGGTGGAGAAGTATTGTAGTTTGTAAAGAGTTCTAAGGTTAGTTTCGAAACCCAACATGGGTCAAGATTCCTCAACAAGGTCCAGAGATTGTACCACTGAGAGGTGAGGGTGACTAAAGTTCTCGGGGATGGTTTTGCTCTAGGCTTTGAGAGCGGCTTTGAGGAGTTGAAGCTTGGTTTGAAGTATGTACCCTGCCCTACCCAAGACTAGAGGGGAGAAGGAGAGCCACCAAGAAGGAATAAGAGAATAAATGTCCGCTTCTTCCAGCCAAGAGAGCTTAAAGCGGAAGGGCCTGGGGCCTCTCGAAACTGAGAGGGTGTCTAGGAGGATAGGGCAGTGGTCTGCGGTAGGTTTGGGCAAGGCCACAGCGTACTTATTTTATATGTATCATATTTTTAAAAATTCATAAATTCAATTCCCATGTTTTATACATTTTTTTATATTTTTTTCTGAATTTTCATATTTTCCCAATTTTTTTGAATTTTTTGGGCTTCTTGGGCAACTCAAGGCAGATTGGGGTAAGTCAACTCTGACCAGCCCTAGCAGCTCAGACCATCCAAGGTCCAAATTCTGCTCCTGTGTCACATTTTCAAACATTGCTCAATTCAATGAGCCAATCTTCTCGGCTGGAAATCCCACTGGAAACCAGGTAATATTTTAATCAAGTATGCCAACCTCCTCCTGAAAATTTCAATTCTAGAAGTCATATTTCACAGCATCCCTGTAAAAAGCGGGTAGCCAAGTGGAGGAATGTAAAGCAACCACAAAGGAGGAATGACCAAAAGAGAACCTGCAAACGCCACTTAGATGTCTCCTTTCATGAACAATCCATTTTTTTCCTACCCTCGCTCACAAATCTCAGCAACTTTTTCTTAAATGAAAGATCACCTTGTCATACAACAGCTTCTACAGGGAAATGCATGCTATATAGATGTGGACAGTCATGATGCCTAGAACAGAAAGCTTCAAACATGAAAACCGATCTCAACAAGAACAACAAAAAAATAAATGCTTTCAAAAAAATACAACTGTTTTCATTTTAATTTAAGTTGGCAGTAACTGACTTACACAAATTTGCTCTTTTGAATCAGTTCTGGTTTTCAAATATTTACAAGCTGCATTTATCCACTGCTGAACCTTGTGATCTTGGTAACCTATGCTACTTTTATCTAGAAAAGGGCAATGCTACAACAACCCGCAGTCTAGTCAAAATGCAGAGCATCATTTAATCCTGTAATGAATGGAAACCTACCAACATAAATATTCATTCTCCAAGTAAATCAAGGAAAAGCAATATATGAGCTAACTACCAGAGCATGAAGAATCAAAATCTTTCAGCCTTTGCATTAAACAGAGTCCTCGATACTAGTTTACGTTCCTCAATCTCAAACGGGCAGCTCTCAATAGTTACATTAATCTAGAAAGTAGCATCTGATTTTCTTTTTTTTACCTTTTTGACAACTAATTAGCACCTGATTAATCAAATAGATAGAAAATGTACCTCATATCCAAGTTTGACCGATGCATAGCCTCTTGCATACTTGCTGACATATCACTAGGATCTAAATCTTCTGCAGAGCCCAGTAAGTTGTTTGAAGAGTTCTTTCTCCCCAAGTAGTTCACATCTTTAGAAAAGAAATTCTCCAGTTCAGAGGAAGAACCCGTTCTTCCTACACCCTGGCCGAGACGTATCCTCTTTAGCGGGGCATGCAAAGTTGCATTACAAACTACAAATGACAGTGCTAAAAAGAAAAGACAGGTTCTTTAGCAGTCTAAGAAAAAGTGAATGTGGGCTAGCTACTTCAACAGACAGCCCAAATAGACGAAGCATAACAGATGTATCAGCTTTGCTGATTTCAGTGAGAAGTTAAACACCTGAGATTCTACTCTATTATATAATTTTGGCTGTTTTATAATGATAATGTCATTATTTCTTGTCAAAACAAATAGAGTCAGAAGTTTCATACTACAAAAGGGTATCAAGAGGGTATTATATAACTGGCACTTTGAAGAAGTTTTATTATGCAATTCATACAATAGTTTATGGGAGAGAAACAGGTTATCATGAATGAAAGAATGATTGTTTGTGAACTTTCAGGGAAAAAAAAAATCTTTCTTTGTGCTAGTCCATACTTAAAACCTGTGAAGTATGTCAAGGGAACCTTCAGTCAAACATAACTTGCATCCGATCTAAAGAATTTTAAAGATTGGCTTCACATGGCTTTCTGTACTGAGGGGTGACCGACAAAAAGCTGTCAGATGGATAAGAAGGGACACATTAGTTCTAAGGACGTCTTGTAGATTCTTGGGGAATTCAAAACTTCGTATCTAATTTCTATGTTATCTCATATTTATTTAGTAACTCAAAAATCTTATGCCATGGTCAATGGTTTCGTAAATCGGGTGCAAACATGGACTAAATGGGTTTATATGACTATACATTGCATTAGTCTGCTAGCCCGATAAGTTTTTTCATTTATTCATACATTTCTTAGATAAAAATAATCTGCTAGTCCGCTCTTAGGAACAATTTCATTAAATAAAAAATGATTACTTCAAACTTCCATATTTTTATATATTAACCCACAACCGAGTAAGAAAGTCTAACTTCTTGATTTCAGTAAATGAAATATACATTCAGTTTTCTAAGAAACAAGGACATAATACTTCAAGACAAAGAACACCACGACCAGAGGAATTGTACCACGTCTCCAAAAGCACATTGCTGAAGCCAAGAAGAGAACTAGAGACACGACTTGGCCAAAAGCACCAACCAGAAAATCTCATGGTTCCCTAATAGCCTCTAGGCGCCTAGATGCCACTCAAAACGATCTGGTCTTGTAACATTTCACATGCACAAAACTTGTGATTGCATGCACAACAGAAAGAGAGAGAGACAGAGAGAGAGAGAGAGAGAGAGAGAGATTATGGTAATCAGGTATCAGGCAAAAAAAAACCTAGGTGCAAGATACTAGGAATCAACACTAAGACTCATCTGATGTGACGCAAATGAATTATAACGGCTAATAAATTACCAATACATCCAAAAATAGATCTATAACAGCTAATTAATTGCTAATACATCCAAACAAGCACAAATAGGGAAAGTATACAATGATCCTCACGATCTCCTCTGCCTTCTGCATGTCACACATGTCAATGGCTAACACAGAAGCAATATGAGATTATAAGCTCCAACCTCCAATGATGAACAAAATTAAGCACTCAGCATGCAAAGATCATAAGCAGATACAATGCAAGCTCGACAGCCACAGGAAGAAAAACATGCAAGCATCTATGGCCTCCCTCAAACTACACATATGAGGCCAATCTACATCCCCAATCTTCTTTCCCTAAGCATATGACACTAAAACAACAAAGTGGGGGAAGTCCAGCTAATTACTTATTCAACCACAACAAGGCCAAAGAGAAATCGCAGCAGAAGTCAAGCTCGGGTAGGTCCTCACCGCGAGGGAGAGCACCACACACGAGGTATTACAGCAGAACCAATAGGTTGGGCACCTTGTGGCATAGTAGACTTGCAGAAATATTCTCAGCGTGTAGAGCTAGAACCCCTGAGCTCAAGTCACCTCAACGAGCTCAATGAGAGAGTCGCATGATAGAGAAGAGAGAGACTGGTGCGTCTCGAATAACTTAATAAGAGAGTAGCAGTAGAGAGGAGATGGACACCAGTACAACATAGGTCCAACCTCACCAACGCATGCGCTTTTATAGTTCCATCAGACCAACAGGTGTTACAACCATCAAAAATACCCCATAAAAGAAAGATACAAAAATGGACTCCTTTAAACAATAATATTAAGGAGAAATTTTGGTGATTTGGCAAAAATCAGATTGCAAAATGCTCGTATGTGAGAGCAAGTTGCAATATGCGTACGCACAGAGTCATAGTTGTGCCTTTGACATAATGTGGACACTTGAAATGCAAAGTGCACCTCAAAGCACCTATTGTGCCTGACACACATCACTTATGCTGTAAGCTCTGCTTATGTGCATATATTAGCTTTTAGCACACATAAGTGTTCCAAAGAAAGATGGTTTACAAAGGGCACTCTGTGAAGAAGCATGTTGGTCCCAAAGCATGTTCTTGAACTTCACGATATGGTTCATGATCACATGTTACTGATATAGAAAGAATTTTGCAGGGAAGAAAATCAAATAACCACGCCAATTACACACTACAATTTTACTGATGGGTAGGCATGCGGTTGATTATGTTAAGTGGACAAATAGTATCTGCGCATATAATATATATGCGGATGCACTTGCGGATTGCTTGAGGGTGTATAACTCAGAGTAATATCATTAGAGCTCAATGGAATTAATGGGTGAAATCTACGAGTACGATAAAGCCAAAACCATGTCGAAACTAGTGAGGGAATGTAGGCATGGAGGTTTTTCTCCATTGTTGTAACCAAATGCTCATTTTTGTTTCAACATTGAACAAACAGAAAAGGTTTCACCCCATTATAAGGACTCTTTCCACATTACATGTTAATCTACTTCAAATCACCAGTGCAACCATAAAATCAGCTTACAGAGCAATGGAATACATGTATCGGCACATTGGGAGCATTAAGGCACAGATTGTACTTCACACATACACATCACTAAGTTGGGCCTTTCTACTGATGCACACACACACCATGAACTGCACATGTACATGAGCATTTTACCAAAAAAATGTCCTTGTCAAATTTACAAAAACTGCCACCTAATATGACTGTTTAGAATTTATGCCATTGTTGACACGTCATACTTGTTGGTCCGTTGGAGCTCTATAAAAGAGCAGGTGGCAGTAAATTAAGAGCTATGTTATGCTAGTCTCTCTTTTTTCCTGCTACCCACTCACTAAGTTCTCAGAAGTGACTTGAGCTCAGGCGTACAATCAAGCCTTCTAAGGACACCCTCACAATACTGCTGCAAATCTAGAGTTCCGCAGCCTCCTCTTATTTCACCTTCTTTCTACTGTGATACCACTCGGTAAGTGTTATTTTCTCTCTCACAGAGAAACTCCCTGAGCTCACCCAACCTACGATGCAGCCCTATATGCAGCCACATTCTAGTGCAATCAGTAAGTGGATGGACTTGTTCTATACCCCCTAACTTTCATTTTTCTTCTCACAAAATATGGGAAAGGCATGGAATAGAGGATGTATAGATTGGTCCTACATGTGTAGTTTAAGGGAGACCATAGATTTTGCTAACACTATTTATCTTGCATGATATCGGCCTAAGATCTTTACGAGCAAACGGCACGTTTAGGTGCACAAATAACTACCCTCACCAAATCACCCTACTTGGCATAAGGGGAGAGCACATTTTTCGTAGTTTTGTCCTAATGTCCAAACTGGTGATTACCATATAAGCGGGGCCAACATGTTGGCCCAGCACCAAATACTAAATTCACATATAAAGTTGCACTATCTATGAGACATATGCCATCCAAAGACGTCCTATTAATTGTCCATTGGGGCTCCAAGATTATAGTTTCAAATTGCTTCTCTCTTTTGTATATAGAGATTCTTTAACAACGCAGATTCAAAAACCAAAATCATCTTCTGGAGATCTACTGGAGGGTGTAGTACGAGAGAAACAAAAGCCTCTTCAGAACAGTTTTTAAAAACTCCATAAAACTTGAGTCTTGTGTGAGACCACTCACCATGGTCAGGCACAAGGTTTTAAAAACCCACATCTTGCTTCCACTCAACTTCAAAAAAACTAGAACAAGTTTTTCCATGACATTGTACAAAACTTAGGTGAGTCAAGAGTCTTTGTTTGGGTGTGTTTGTGACAAAACTCAGACACACTTATAGAATCAAGAAATGACCATACAGTTTTAAACTCAGAAAGTCATGATAATGACTTTCAAATGAGCTAGAACTTTGGATATACCCTTGAAATGATGAGATAGGGTCATGCTCCAAAGATCATGAAATTTGGAGATCATATCAATGGGTTTCCAAAGTTCACTGCAAGCTACAATGCCCATATAGAGTTTATTGCGGTGAACGTTTCAAAAATGGACCTAATGGAGTCCAAAAGCTCCCAAACTCAGATTCATGCTTGATGAAGACATTATGAAGTTTTCTACCAAAAATCATGCAATTTGGATTGGTTTTCAAGGGCAAACCAAAGTTCACCAAGCCTAGTATATACATATAGGGGATTCTCGTGATGACCCATACATTTGGATCTAAATCTTGTCTAGATCAAACCAAAATGTATGGGGAGCTTTATTATGGTGAAATAAAGGTGCGCGATGAATTTCATTTAGTTTGGAAGAGATTTGCATAATTTTTTAAGATGCACCACGAGCGTATTGTTTGGACATGGGAGTCCCATGGTGAACTTTTTATTTGGGTCCAAATCAAATTGAAACTTGGAGGGAACAATCTAAAATCATATTTTAAATATTTCTGTGAAAGATGGTGTGATTTGGATAGTATCTTAAATGGTTTCTGAAGTTCACTTGAAAACTAGTGAAGGCATATGTGCCTCTCGCGGTGAACTCGGGATTTTGGTCCAAATGATGATCAAATGGGCTGAAATTTGGTGGAAAGCATGGACTGAAGCTAAGCAATACACTGGTAGAATTTTATGATAAAGGATTGCAGTTTAAAAGTGTTTTGGAGATCCATCACGAGCCACGGGTTATGTGAATACAGGGGGGGGGGGGGGGGTGTGGTCACATCAAACTAAGAAAGATGGATCTAATGATGATATCATGAGATGCAACTTGGCAGATGCATTTGTTAGGCCTAATAGAGGCATAAAACACGTATCATGTGAATATAAAGAAGAATGATGAGGCTTTCAAAGTTCACCATGAGCTACATGCCCTAGTTCACACTGGAGCTATTTACGCTGGTGCTTCCAAAAATTCAGATCAAAATGATTTGATCTAGAGTGATCTAGAGGATGCAAGGAATGTTTCCCAAGTCTTGTTTGATCCTATATGGAAAAGTGAACCCAGAAATTGGTGAGATAAGAGGCAGGAATTAAGAATATCCTGTTGAAAGCATAATCTTGAGACTCTTTCCAAGATAAGAAAGATCTCATGCAGTTTCATTCCCTAAATCATGAGAAAGGATATTAGAAGGGATTTCTGGAAAAATCTTTCCATTCGACAGGGATAATCTCAAGGTTAGATTTGAAAGTTATCAAGTTCCTACGAACTTGAACACCTTTAGAGAAACTAATGTAAACCTTAAGTATTTTCAGATATATAGCAAGATTTTGAGTGTAATCAATGCCATTAAACTTATAATTTAAAGGTCATCAAAGATCATCACATGATAAGTACCAGAAACATCACATTTTCAGGCCTAGATAGCATATTCAGGTAATGTGATGGAGGAAACATCACATTTTCAGGCCTAGATAGCACTCTATGGCACCTGATACTCCAGGATCGATCCTCTGGTGTCTCCAGAAGATTGAAAATTCTGGAAACAAAAGATGACAGAAACCTACCAAGATTTGAAGATTTTTCTTGTTCACCAAGCTCGAACCCTGTATAAGGCAATCTTTTAGCATGATTTTGCAATATTTAGAGAGAGATCAGACTAGCACAAATCCCAGACCCTAATCTTCAGCCAAGACTGTGTGAGAGCTTTTCATATAAAGATCTCTACATAGATTCCATAAGGATTGAGAGAATTGAACCAAGACTCCAAAGCGAAGTTCAAGGAGTTTTAGAGAGAGAAAGCGACCCAGCTTGCCTCCCTCACTTCATACGCAAGGTACATGAAATCTATATCAATTCCAGGATTTGATATATACAATTTTCTTTCTTTGGGTCTCCTAAGACTTTGTAATCGCGGATCAAAGGTTTCCCCTTATTTGTATAAAGTCGAATGTAAATAAAATGAGTATGCCAAGCACCCGGAACTCTTCCCAAATCTATCTTTCAATAAAAGCACTCGGTATTTTTATGAATCAGGGGTGAAATTTTTTTTCTTAATTGCGTGCTTTCTCTAGTTTGTTTGAAATCATATTTCTTCCAAAATCTTCTTTAGTACACTTTTAGGCAAAATAGTCTTGAGTCAGCAAATTTTCATATTTAAGATGAAGAAGTTCAAAATAAGGAAAATTTATCAATGTAAATTTATTTGTTCCTTTTTCCGTTAAATACCAATATTTCACCCTGGTATGCATCTAAAGCTTGAAATCCATATAGGAATATATTTTTTTATTCATCATTTTTTCCGCCTCTTCTCCCATTCTTATAAAAACTTGAACAATACTGGCTGAGTCTACTTGAGATCTCAGTGAGTCGACTAGCCTCGGGCACCTAATGAGTCTTGAAGAGAGTTTAGGGTTTAAAACAATGATTTAGAGTGAGGAATGGGATGGTAAAGCAGTGGTAGGAAAGTGCCTTGAGATGTATATTATCTCACTAGAAATAGTCCAAAAGAAGTTTGGACTTTAGAGCGACAGAAATAGATATTCTAATCTGTAAAAGGAGAAATGTTGCTGGATGCAAAGCACCCAGCTACAAGATTAAGGTTGGAAGGTCAACTATAAAGTTGGTGCCGAAGCATAGAGTCCATGGCCACTCCTTCAATAGCCAAGGTTTTGAAGAAGCTGGGAACATTATCATAAATGGTCCTTATGGAGTCAAGAAATCTTATGCAGATCAATTGTACAACAAATCTTTGTTCAGGTAAAGGCGATGGCTCTTTTACAAATATTGTTGAGGTAAAGGTGATGGCTCTTTTAAAGGACTTCAAGTTATGTATACCACCGTTCTCTTGCCAAACAAGATTGAGTTCCCTAAACTAGGTTTGTGTGTGTTTGATACCACCCTTCATAGTACCATCACTACAGGAATGACTAGCCACCCATGACTTCATTAATTAGTAAAAAACAACAAAAAGCAATGACTCACAAATCTAACAACTCATACGTGCTGGGATCTCCCAACCTAGGTGGCCATCTAGCTCCCGAATCTTGCTCCCCCATCTCATGTAAGGGATCTTCAAGGGATCTCGATTTTTAAATTTCGAGGTCTAGATCCCCACTATTAGATATCTCGATCTCTACATTAATGACTAAGATAACGACCAAAATGACGAGTTTCAAGCCTGCTAGCAATGCTACTATACTTTTAAAATAAGAAAATTATTTTGGGCTCCCCTATTATTAGGAATTTAAGACTAGGTTAAGTAGAGTTTCTAGACACCCATCCTTTATTGAATAAAAAAGAGTACAACTTTCATATTATTTAATAATAAATTTTAAAGAATAGAATGTTTCAAATGACATCTAAAAACATCATCCTTCTTTGTTGAAAACTGAAAGTACAATTATTTGATTAACTTAATAATAATTTAAAAAATAAGAAAATTATTTTGGGCTCCTCTATTATTAGGAATTTAAGATTGAGGTTAAGTAGAGTTTCTAGACACCCATCCTTCACTCAATAAAAAAAGAGTACAACTTTCATATTATTGAATTAATAAATTTTCAAGGATAGAATGTTTCAAATGAAATCTAAAAACATCCAAGTATTCCATAATATTATTGAAATCTTTTACGATTAATTTATGTAACAATAAAACCATATAATAGTTTCCTTTGCCTGGATCATTCTATAGACCTTTTTACAACAATCATTTTATAAGTCTATGCATGTGAATCTCAATTCTGTGTTATCAAGACTTTGATCCCATGTTGATGAATCACGGCTTGGTGCACCTATGAACCCTGAGATTTGACAATGTGAAATCTGGATCCTATATAGTGGGGAGCGAGATTCCTAAATTAAGAGAGAGAGAGAGACTCTGTAAAGATCCCTTGTCCAGAGCATTCTCCACGTAGGGTCGAAGAATCTGGTAATGATGGCTCCATCTAATTTCCTTTTGATTTTACTTCAGTCCATCTATACATATGTACTTTGTATACAAGTGTGTGCATGCATGCGTGTGTGCACGTGGAGAGAGAGAGAGAGAGAGAGTGTGTCAGCATTGTAACCAGAGTATAGGACAAAGCCTGGCTTATGTGCAAAAGACTAAGATGCAAACCACAACCACAGTACGCCTGCGCACACACGCACAAACAAAGACAGAGAGATGTAACTGCAATCTGGAAGGACTAGCCAAACCCATGTGCAACAGCGTATGCTTCCAATCACAATATCCTCCAATTCGCAAGTCTTTCAATATGCACAAATGTCCAACCACTCATACCACAGATGATAACATCTAGTCCCTTAGTTAATCTAGTTTCTCCTTGTTCCAACTGCAATTTCTTTAATGTTAATCCAATGAAATTTCTAAGCATGTCAATCAATATTCAAATTAGAATCGAATTCCGTTAAATGCTAAAAAGAACCGTTTAGATAACTAAGAAAACAGCACTGATTGAAAGATATGTGTGTGGGTGTAGAGAAATACCTTAGTAGCTCTAGAAGTCATTGTTGAATCAACCACACCCTGTTCAGCCATTTCAGCTCGTGAGGAATCAGCTGTTGATGAAATATTCTCTGATGAACTTCGGGATGATGCAACCTCTATCACTGAACTACTTTTAACAGGTGATGATTGAAGAGGGAGCCTTGCCACGTGCTTTTGCTTCCCATCAAGCGATTGGAAAGCAATGACCTGGATCCTTCCAACCTAAAAACGTTTAACAGATATTTCAAATCAGATACAACAGTATGATACAAACGATTATAGGAAATCACAGTCTGTCAGGTCCTAACCGTCCATTCAAATGATGGTCACTGATGAAGAGAAAGTGACCAACATGTCAATGGACAGTGAACTGGTTGGACTATGATTTTTTCCAAAGTCGGTTGAATTATAGCAATACTTCCCAAGAAATTATGTGGCTACAACTCAACTATCCTCTACCCCACAGTATACTTACCTTACGTGCATCTTCACTGAAACAAGAGAATATCAAACCAATAAACCCAGCATCTAGAAGCTGGTACATTCCTTGAGTTCGCACATCTGCAGATGACACATCCCCAGAGTAAATCGAACTTAGGCAATATTTTTTACGAAATTTCAAAAAAGAGCAAAGGGACTCATGGAGGAAGTGCAAAAATTCAAGAAGAGAATTTCAAGCAAAGAAATTATTTAAGAAAATAAAATAAACCACTATGATGTGCATACTCAAGATATTATTTTTTTCTCTCTCTCTCAAAAATTGAGATTACATATTTTTTATCTCTATACTCAATAATTGAGATGATATATTAGTTAGGCAAATATAAAACTGAATTGGAAAGATGTTTCTGACGATGTTGATAATAAATTCCCTCACTCACTACTCAAACCAATCCACCCAATTCACCAACAGAAACCCAACAGTCCAACCACACTGAGTATGTACATGATCTTCCAGCATCACACACAGTCCTCTGCCACTTTCTCCCTCCATGAGAGAATTTCCGAAGAATAATTTCTCTAGATCCCTCCCTCCCTCCAAGAGACAATTTTCTAAGTATAACTTCACTTGATCAGTAAACATGAGACAACATGAGATTTGAAACCCCACAACCTGATGGGCAAGGATAAGAGCTGTAAGCCTGTAATCCACAGGGCTACAGCTTATAGATAATTATTTGTTTGCATTGCCTACAAATCGTGTATCCGAAGCCATTTTCAACAATATAAAGTTCCATCGTAACCAAAATGGGTCTCATAGTTTAGTTTGTCTCATAGAAAGCCTTATATTATATAGAAGCACCAAACTAGGTGACTTCTCTCAAAAAATGACAAGCCCCAAATCACATCTTACATCTTATACCATGTGAGGTTCTAGGTGGCCCCTAACCTCACTAATAATGGCTGCCACCCAATACAATGCAATCACAACCCTAAATTGAGAAAAAGGAAACCAACAGTTCTGTTCTCTGAGACAATCTTGGCCCCCTTTGACAAGTGATATAACCATTAATTGAAATAATACCACTGGGAATTGGACTCAACACAATTAATATTCTCAGTACTACATAATCTTCGGTGTTAGAGCAAGTTATTCCATGGGAGCTTGCTTGAATTCAACCATGTCAAATCAAATAATTCAAACCAATGGCTCTCACCTCTCCAAAAACCAAAGAGATGTTCTTCATTAAATAGATGCAAGAGATGGGGAATTTACAAGAAACTACGAATATTGTGGTGAAAAAAGCTGCTATAAATCAAAACTCCCCTCTAAAACCGATCCTAATTGTTTCCCTAATCACAAAAAACCATTCCCCATCATAATAGCTTCATTCCTAACATATTAAGACCACATATTCCTCAATCCTACTCAAATTATGAGACCTCAATATCCTCAAAACTCTGTTGGTATAAACTTTGTAGCGAGCTAGAAGGTCTCCTCCCATTTCAATTAGGAAATCTAATAGGAAACCCAACCCTAGTAAGAAATTCATAGGATACTAAACCACCTAAGAACCCCTATTCCAATTATGAAAGCTAGCTGTATTTGGACTTCTAATATATTCTCATATTACTTCAAACGATCTCCTCCAGAAGTCCACCAGAAGCACTATAATTCTCTAGGATTCAATTCCCATGGTTCCAACATCATTAACAACTTCAAAAAGTCCCCTCATATCAATCGTAAACAAAAGAAGCCCAAACAAGAAACCATTTCTATGAGTTCATTGAAAACTGGCATTAAAAATAATGAAAAAAATAGAACCTTAAAAGACAACAAATTATTTTAGGGGATGAAAACTTATGAAAGTAACAAAAAGTCCAACACGCCCTGCATCATAGATCTCATGAGTCAGTCTAAATTGGTGTACAAATGATACATACCTTTGTTGAGCTTTTCTAGAAAACTGAATCAATCATGCTCATTTTGGCCAGAAGGCTCTTCCTGATAAATAACAATTATATTCATAGAGGTGTATTCTATTCCACAGATTTTGAGGGGGCAAACACTAGGTAAACAACAGAGAAGAGAACTATGGAGGAAGCAACACATATTAGAGACAGTCTTGACTGGGAAAAGTTAGGGACAGATTTGCTCCCCCTTATCACAGATCAATGATTTCAAAGAAGAGCTCATTCAAAGATGAAAATGAACATGACAAGAAACACAAAGTCGAGGGGAATAAGGTCGAAAGCACATACATACCTTATGATCATCAACATAACCAAACAAAAAACAAATTTTGTGGATAAGGGGACATAAAGCAAAGCATCCAAAAGTATGTATGAGATTGTAGCTAGAAGGATGACCAATAAGTGGAAGTTATGATTGGCCATAGAGCTTCTCCCTGGAACAATTTAAGCACATCAACATCATTAATTATGGAATGGGATGTTTTTTTTTTTTGAAGAACGTTAACATTGTATTACTGAGACATTGTATTACTCAAAAAAAAAAATTCTCCAAAAACCTTTTCTCAAAAAAAACAATTTCTCAAAAAAAAAATTGTATTACTGAGACAGTAATGGTTAGAATGGGAGAAGACCGAGAGATTATGGAATGGGATGTTTCAACAACATGCCTTCACCTCTTGGTTTAACCACTTTTAATGGGTCATATGAAGCAAGAGCTTATATTGACAAACCAACCTCAGATCTAGAAAGTAATTTTGAAAACTATTAGAAATGTACTTTCCTCCTCCATCAGAATTATATCATTTCTCTTTGAAAAGCATCAATATATTTGTGAGTAATTAGAGAGCTTCAGCAAATTGAATTTGTATTTGACCAAATCCAACCATACCTTGGAAAAGATGTCAATGATTGCAAGGTAATTAGAAAAATCCCCCCCCCCTTTTGAAACAATAAATTATGTCCGTCAAACACCATAATGAAATATCTTCAAAATGGAAGTTGTTTAATTTACTCTGGTCAAACAAAAGAGCTTGCCAACTAACAGCGTACAACTTTTAACATCATAGACAGTGGACATTGCAAACCAAAACTAGATAATAACTTTGATGTCACAGACTCGAAGTCAAAATCTGCATTGTTTAGTTCTTTAAGAAAATTGCAACAAGGCACTATGTTAAGAGATTTCACTGTCAGAGGAAGATGGTACAGACTGCAAACTGCTTTTGAAGGGCATAAATGTCCACCCAGTTATCCGCCTGGGATGATTTAAAGATCATTTTGAACGCCTCTTCAAGATCTACAACCACTTTTCTGTCTTTGGCCCCTTCCACTCCATTATCTCCCCCTCCTTTCTGCCTCATTACCCTTTTCTCTCTTTGGTTCTCTCTCTCTCTCTATCTGAAATATTCTCTATCGATAAGCCCTATTTCCTCCTATTTTGCAAAGAAGCTTCCTCCTCCTTAAACAAAAAATATGTCCTAATTTTGATCGGGACCAGAAAGGCTACAACCAGCATTCATTTTCTCAACACAACCAGAGAAAGAGAGACAAACAAATGCTCCAAAAGAGGAGAGAGGGGGGGTAAGAGAAAGAATAAAGCCCATTAGTTGATAATCAGAAACTCACTTTCATAAAGGTGGTACAGGTATTGGAGCCAGGAGATAGAGAGACAGGAGTGGGGTGTCCCATACTTTCAACCGGTGTATAGGTATCCCTTAACACAGTTACCGGGATCTCCCTACTTGCCAGCGATCCCATGCCCTCGAAGCTGGACCTTGGGTGGATCATGCTCCCATATGGGGTGAACACTATCCCAATCCCTTAGGGATCAGCCAATGTAAATCACACCCATATTACCTTGATTATTTATAAGGAAACAAGTCTTAAATGCATCTCCATTACAAAAAGAAAGTAATTATGATGCAAAATCATGGTCTGCACATTTTTCAAAGAGAAATAAAATGCATTTACTGGATGGGTCATGGGCCTTTAGAATTTATCATGCATCTCAAAAAGGTGGGATTCGGCTCCCCAACATGTTGGGATCAAGATCCCCAAATTCAGGGTGTACGGAGAGCAATCTCAATCATAGGGAGCTTCTAGCCTATGACAATCCCACACTCCCAATCCCAACAAACTATGTCCCACAACCCACTTTGCAAGGAGCGAAATCATGACTACCTTTCTACACCATCAATTTCAATGGATGGTGTAGTCACAGCAGCACCAGAACATTTCACACACGCATACAGACAATGCATCTGCATATGTATATACCAATGAGTCTGCTATGCCTATATGTACATACATCAAGAGCATGAACAAAACATCCTAGCACAAAAACCAAAGAGTAAAAATGATCCAAGTATAGTCATCCTACTGATACATGGTTATACAAAACTCCATTATGTAGCATTAGATCAGCTATATTAACCAAATGACCCATCTTAACAATATGGGTTTATCACAATGCACCATGTGAGTGGATTCAGTTCCCCTACGGCTTATCACTCATTAGGTAGTCTTTCGGTAAAAACACTCTCGTGTAACAATATTACCTCAAAGTATAGAAAAGTTCAGGGGCTGTCACATTTGAAACCAAAATGCCAAATGGGTGGAAAGATCAAAGAGGCAGGCTGTTCACCTCAAACCTCAAAATATCATTGTCACAAGCACTGGCAAACACATGTCACACGAAAAGATCAAGACAACACAAAGCAATATGGAGTGTTTCAAATGCTACTTAATGGACGATTAGATATAATTTACCACAGCTGAAAAGAAGAACCCTTTAGTGTACAATGTATCTCAAGAAAAATGTCTACTAAAAAGATTTGGTGCATAGGATGGAAATTTATAAGATTTTCAAAAGAACATCAAGAATTAAAGCTTATGAATGGTGTACTCCATTGCAAATAGTCATGTAAAAACAACATAAAATTAAATGGCTTGGGCTGTCCAATCTGAGTAGCTCAGAAGAGTCCGAGTGGCCTTGTCAAATAACGTATGAGTCCAAAAAGGGCTAAAAATTGCAAAACAAAACACAAAAAAAATCTATATAAAAACAGTAAAAAGCAAAAGTTATAAACAAAATTAAAAGTCAACGAAAACTAGAAAAAAGTATATAGAAGATTGGAATACGACAA